AGACAATAACGTTAAGAAGAGGATATGACCATCCTCACTTTCCCGATCAAAAATAAATACCTAAGGAGATGACTAAAGTTTAAAAAAAATCTTTAAAAAAATAAACCAAATGTTTATGACAAGTTCACTCCACTTCAGCATAAACCTCAAGGTTCCCGTTGTAGATAAGAAGAACCGCATTGTTGCCATATAATTGACATTATATCTCTCAATGGGGCCACATAATTATACGGTAAGAATATGAAGATACATTCATGAAAGCCGTCTTTGAATGTTCTCCAATATGAAACATTTCGCGGTTATACTTCTTATGCAAGATAAAGATTACCCAATTATAAAATATCTTAAGTAGGATGACAAGGACAAAGTAGATAACAAATAAAAACTGTGCATAGAGAAGGGAAGCACTAAAACAAGACCAAAAGAACTCTATATGATGTGAAATAAAGCTTCAGAGAAAATCTGGTGGGGAAAAAATTGGGCTTACAGCACAATTGAAACAAAAAAGCTTGTTAGTTGAAAGAAACAAAAATTCTAGGAGTTGGAAGAAAGCTGCAGTTTGGATATGTCTATTACATAAATAAAAAAAAGATGTAGCTTTACTATCCTAGTAGTTATAGAATTTCCAAAACGAACTTTCAGAAGAAATGTAAGGAAGGTAGATGATGATTTAAGATTGTGTATTAGGGAAGGAGAAGCACCAAAAAGCAGCAATGATACAAACTTTGCGCAATAATATTCTTCAGATATTAAAAGGGGAGAGCATACCTTCCAGTACAAAGTTAATTATCTGGCAGCATGGACATTTAACATGCATGATTCCTCGAGGATATGAAAGCAACTGACGACAACTTCCACATACCATCTGACCCACTTCTGCATCAAGAAAGATATGTTATTACATGGAGAATGCAATACAATCATTTTCATTTCCTAGTTAACCACATATCTTGTATAACAACTGTAATAAAATATAATGTCTTCCAAGGATAGACAGTTAGTAATGCTCTAGAATATCCCAAGCTGGAGATTGCATGCAGCATTTGTAATAGACAACTAGTAACGGATGACAGAGCAACTGTATATTCATTTATTTTTTATTCCTCTCTTCACTCTTCGTTTAATCTTTTCCTTTCCATTCCAGTATTCTATACGCAGATGTGTAGATCTCTTAATTACTTGTGGTAAGCATGACCTCTTTAAGTACCAGCCTCGAGTGCTATTTTAGTTTAAGAACTTGTAGCAATGGCAAGTGTTTACAGATTGAATTGCTAGATAAATTAAACCTCAAAAACATTACATCCCATGCCACTGCAGTGATGCTATGATCAACAATAAATACACATGCTCAGAAATGATAAACAATCATCAGCATGCAAGAAAAAGTGAAAACAGCAGCACTGCACTTAATTTCCCCATACCTATGAAAAACATGCAAAATATATGTGAAAAAATGCCAAACAAGTGACAATCATAAACACTTGATTTAGGAAGAAGGAGAATATGATGAAGAACTTGTGATGTTTCAGTACACTTAATTGCGGAGTTATAAATATGGTTAGATCAATACGAAATGATCAACTTCATGAGTGTGCTCCTCTAGCATAGCAGACGATCTTTCTTTTTTAAGATAGAAAATGGTTGATACCAATACCAACTCAGCAGAGAAATTGATACAACAGAGCATCTGTAAAATCACATGCATTGAAATTAGAAAGATTGTACAAAGGTTTTAATAGTCCAATTACTACTCATAAGGCTCAGAAGGTAATTAATCAATTTGAGCACAAGAAAATAAGGTCCATTATGTAGTAAGGTTATACGAGGCTTCTAAAGGTCTGATTGCTTGCATAACCATACAAAACACATGAAGGTATCCCAGACCAGTTAACAGAAAATCAGACACACAATGTGGACATTCTTTCCAAGCACATAACAACAGCATTCTTTACTATAATAAAGACAATAACAAGGAGCTAACCTATATGTCATGAAGCAAGCATTTATAAATGTAGGCAAAAAGCATACTTCCTCTGTCTCAATAGAGGCTCTATGAATTATAGACATCTCAAAGAAAATATATGGTTTTATTCCGGAGACGATCTCAAATATTGATATCCCGGAGCTGATGTCAATATTTATTTAAATATCCTAGTTTACTTCATACGTAGGATGATATAACAATTATAATGTTCATGTATCGTGATTATTTTCTAAGAGACAGCTTTAAATTTCAACTAAACTGTTTTTTTAATTGAAGAGAGGCTCCTTAACTAGGTAATAAATGGAAATATATCATCCAAGATTACATTGCATTTGCTATAAAATTATCTCTTCTACATTCTTATACCCTCGGCTCTATTTTAAGAATGTGATAGAATAAATGAAGATGGAACAGAACTGGAAACGGAACATGCCCAACTAGATATAGTCCCTTTAGGAGGTAAAAGAAATGCCATCTAAAAGGAGAGATGCTTTCTCAAATAGCTTCCATTTACAATTGAAGAAATGAGATAGCATTCTTCGAAGGCATTGTTTTTGTCCATTCTTTGAAGGCATTGTTTTTGTCCACTTTCTGTAGATTTCTCTGTCTCAGACCTTATCCCTATATATGCCATACACTGCAAAGCTGAAAGCCTTAGAAGAACATAAATAGAACAGGACATGAAGAAGCGACCTCATCACCTCCAAATACTTAAATACAAGGTACATTAAATCTGTCATGCATCGTGAATGTTCCCCACATATTATCAAGCTTCCGGAATCCATGCATAATAGGGATGCACATCAAGCTACAATTGGATGTAAGTGTAACAAATCTAAATGGATGACATTAGGCAATAAGAACTTACCACAATGATACAACAACCAAATGTAGATTGATGTTTGACCTCTATGATATAAGGAAATCGATGTATGACGTTAGGCATTCCATCCAAGCTTGCAAGAAGATATTTACCAAAATGATACAACAGATGTGTAATTTCTTCTCAAAGATAGTATTTAATGGCCCATTTTCTTTTTGTTATGAAAAGTAAACCGAAACCACATTCCGATATCTTTCAATATAAAGTAAACTATGATAACATTCATGTAATAACAAAACATAATACTTATAAACAAAATATATGAGGATCATTTATCAAAGTTAGATAAACATAAAGAAAGAAATTACACAATGAATAGCTTATTACAGTTAAAAAGCAAGATTTCACTAACCTAACATACAAAGTCATTCCACTGTTCTATACAGCCAAAAACGTGTTACTGAAAAATAACTCAGAGATGAATGCTAAGATCCATAGATTTTTTGTTGTCTTTGCAATAGTTTCATTAGTGAGACATTATCTATTATATGGAAATCACAATTAACTAGTAATAGAAAAGTAACCTGGAAGACGAATAGGGTTCTAGATTAGGTCATGAACCAACTTTTTCCCAGACAGGAGACAGTGGTGTCTCCCATGAGCTGAGAACGCTCCTCTCTATTTAGAAATCTGGAGCTGTGGGGCATCATTCTCTTCCTTCACTAAGGACTAATAGCAATTAGGATAGTGCACCGTGCAAGTAAGACTTATAGTTAAATAGGGATAATCAGTATCAGCCAACTCGCTAACGCCTTAACAACATGCTAGTAATGGTATCTTTTTATGAAATAGAAATACGAAGAAATAACTAGATGACAGATAACCTGGAAGAATAGGAGCAGACTTCGAAGCAATCACTTCCGAGCTAGGTGGTCCCCTGATCTCTGGGGAATTACCCATGTTCTTCTCTAGCTTTAGCAGGCCTGTAACATTATGTTCTCTTTGATGAGTAGTTGCACCAAACATTATCATGTCATTGAGACGTTACTACAGAAAATGACATCCATGTTACATCGATTTTTCTCCTGTGTTACAAGTAAACTAGTATCTTTTATCTTTCATGTTATATAGATCAAAAAGGAAAAGCAGCAGCCAAACCTGGGGAAGGATTAACTTGGGGCACGGCATTTTCCCAGCCTGGTAAAGAGGAAATTTCAAGAGAGCTGCCTGCACTCTTCTCTGGGTTTGAAGAACCTGGGAGAGGATTTGGCTGAGTGTTGGTGATTTCCGAGCCAGGAGGTGCAGAAATGATGGGGGAGCTGCAGTTACTCTTTTCTACATTTACTGAACCTGGGAGATGACTAGATTCCCAGCCAGGCGGAGGGGAAGTTACGGGAGAGCTGTCCATACTCTTATCTGGGTTTGAAGGACGTAGGAGAGGTTTAGGCTGAGGGATGGTGATATCCAAACCAGGCGGTGGAGAAGTTACCGGGGAGCTGCAGTTACTCTCTTCTACTTTCACTGAACATGGGAGAGGACTAGGCTGAGACACACCATTTTCCCAGCCAGGAGGAGGGGAAATTTCAGGAGAACTGCCCATACTCGTATCTGGGTTTGAAGAACCTGGGAGAGGATTAGGCTGAGCATTGGTGCTTTTCGAGTCAAGAAGTGCAGAAGTTGCTGGTGAGCTGCAGTTACCCTTTCCTATGTTTACTGAACCTGGGAGAGGATTAAGCTGAGACCCGCCATTTTCCTGGTCCGGTGGAGGGGAAGTTTCTGCTAAGCTGGCCATGCTCTTCTCTAGGTTAACAGAATATGGGAGGGGATTATGCGTTGAGTCAGGGGTTTCCAAGCGTAATTGTATAGAAGTTTCTGGGGGGCCGTGTATAATCTTCTCTAGGTTTTCAGAGACTTGGTGAATATTAGACAGAGAGCCAGGGGTCTCCAAGCTTGGAGGCAAAGAAATTTCTAGGGGCCTGTCAATGATCTTCTCTAGATTTTCAGTAATTGGATGAGGATTAGTCTGACAGCCAATGTTGTCCCAGCCAGGTGGAGGGGAAGTTCCGGCAAAGCTGCTCATGCGCTTCCCAGAGCTTACTGAATCTGTTAGTTTCCTTTACTCGGTCAGTATTTATGGCAAAGATAATCATGTAATCAGAAATTAATGATAAATAAAAAATGAAGATTAATATAGATGAAACAGAACTATCATGATTAAAAATAAAATTCGGAAAAGTAAAAGGGTGAAAGCTTGGCAAGTTAAAGAGTTATGCAACCCAAGCAATGGCAACAGAATCCATCATCATCAAAGAGAAGTAGAACTTGCCTCATCAAATTAAACACCCAACTTATATGAAGAGTCACTCTTTCACTGCCAACTTTCCAACCTGATTTTGCCATTGTCACGGCATCATTTCATCAAATGTGCGGTAGACAATGGAGTGCAATTTCGAATTTAGAATGCTCAAATTGAATGATGGAACAAAATGGCATGGCCAACTGTACTCATTAACCCTCTAATTTGGTGCCAGATTCACAGCTCCGTAACTGTCTCTAATTTGGTGCCAGAATCACAGCCAAAAAGGCTGCTTTTTCTTAAATATAATATAGATTGCAAGCTGCCCAGATTCTCTTAAGAGTTTGGAGACGTAAAGAATAAGGAATTCATCCAAACTTCGATCCATAAAAAATCTGAAACAAAGTGTCAAATTTGCTTGGTAGAGAAGCTATGCAAAATGAACCATCAGATCATCCTCTAACTGAAGTCCCAACTCCCTGAGACGAATGATCAACTAAGAGACCTTCAAAATGTGCTGACGAACATCACCACTTCCATCATATTTCAGATTAATGAGTTTGACCAGATAACTGTATTGTCTCGCTCTAACAAATCCCTCAAACTGCTTCTTGATGGTCTCAAGCAACTCCTTAGCAGTTTTGCAAGCCGGAATCCCTCCACGAATAGTCTGGTCCACCAATGCTCTAATGATCAACATTACATGCTTGTTGGCTTTGACCCACTTAGTATGAGATTTCTTTTCAGTTAGACTTGATGACTCATCAGGCTCTTCTGGCTTCTCTTCAGTGAGAACATAATCGTAGTCAAGACACACAAGTACTATTTTAACTTGTATCTTCCAGTTGCCATAGTTAGAACCGGTGAGGGGCTCAATCCCAGTCAGATGTTTCTGAATAAACTGTCCGTCCATCTACATTAAACCATGAACCTATAAATCAAATGAGACCTTTAATTTTATTAACTTTAATATTTAATATTTTCACATCCAATTTAGGGTTAAAATGGATGGGTCAGAGTGTTTTACGTATGCAACGTTCCACTCTGCGGGACAGGCGGGTGCATCATCTCATCACACATTTGGACAAGTGATTTGACATACTATTCGCCCCCAAATGTGATATATAATCACCTATTGGATTAGCTTACACAGCGTCAGTTTGATTTGAACACTTCCTAACATTTGGGCAATGGGGTTATTCTCCTCTCACTGACCTATTTCAACTATCCTGTACCATTTATTCTGTAGAGGATTTCTTAGACACCTTTGGGCAAGACTAGTAGTCCACCCACAGGTAAGTGCAACCTTCCAGTGCAAATGAGACTAAACTCAACCTTAAAAAATTAGGTATATTATAGGTTGGTCATCTTTGGGCAAGACACTAACCTACTCTACCATAATTTCTAAGTGATTGTTTAACTGATCTTCCTTAACCCCATAGGTTGATCTAATACTGTAATTTGTTTTATCATGAACCCAAATATTTACCCCACCTGAATTAAGGATATAATCAGGGTAAATCAATTTTATCATGAACCCAAATATTTACCCCACCTGAATTAAGGATATAATCAGGGTAAATCAATTATCTTTATGTGCATACCACCTGAATTAAGGATATAATCAGGGTAAATCAATTATCTTTATGTGCATACAATAATTTTTTATGAATTATCCAAATTCCTGTATTAAAACTTTATGAAATGAAAATAAAACTATATAGTTGAAAAGTACACATAATGATCTTTCCAACGACTATTTATGGGCTCAAATCGGACTTAAAACGGATCTATAGCGACTAAAACAAAATAAATGGTCAAAACCGTAATGGGTCGGGTCTGGAAATTAATGGGTCTTGACCCATTTCATAATGGGTTGGGTCAGAATTTTAATGGATCTAATCCATTATTGTAGCGGGTCGGGTCCATTACATACTAGATCGGGTCTGGCTTAATGGGTTATAGAGTTATATAACTCAAATAATAAATGATAGTTAACTATACTAAATAATCTAATTATTTACTAATTAAATTAATTAACTAATTAACTAAAACCCTAACTCTAAACCAGCCATACTGCCGCCGCCATCACCAAAACCCCTACAGACCCAGCCTTTCCACTGTGCGGCCGCATCTCCGTCGGCGCCGCATTCCCGCCGCTGCGCCACCGAAAAAAGTTCTTCCGCTGCTGGAAAAGTTTTGCTGCCATGGCCATGATGAGATTTGAATTCAAAGTTGAAGGCATGAAGAAAACTCCAGCCATGACCTTTGGAGGCATGAAAAAAAATCATCTTTGAGTTCTAATTTGCATCTAGCCATGGCTAAAGTCCAACGAACATGACAAAATAGTTTTGCATCTGGTCATGGCTAAAAAAAATTTCAACGTTTTGACGAAATAGAAATCAAACAACTCAAAGAACTTTTCCAGCAATTGTTGGGTTTTCTTTAATTCAAAGTTGATCTTGGGTTTTCTTTAGTATGTCGTTCTGAGTTAATTCCAAGTTTTGCAACCATGAAGTTTAAAGGCAAACAAAAGAAAACCCACGATGGGATTTTTTTTTAATTAATTTGAAAAAAAACTTTAATTCTAGATCAATAATTCATGCACAATCTAGCTCTGAACCACTGTCGGATAATTTACCGATCTAGACATGAATAGTTAAACTAGAAATATAAATCAAAGTTACCGTTCACCATTGAAAAAACAATGGAAGCCTTTTCCTCTCTTCTCTCGTAGCCAACGATGGGAATTTGGTCTTTTTTCTGTGTACGGTTGAGAGGAGAGACTCTCACTCTTAAATAGATATTTGTGATTAACCCTACCCATCTACTCATCATGGTTTAATCACAACCGTGGGATTACACTCCGATCAATATTATCCTTTAGATATTCAAGATAACCACCCAACTTGATAAACATGAATGATGAAACTATCTAACCAGACCATGAGGTTAACATCCTGATCCTAACTTGATAAACATGAATGATGAAACTATCTAACCAGACCATGAGGTTAACATCCTGATCCTAACTTGAATCGATGGCAACTTTAAATCAAATCCAAAATCGAGTAGGTTGGGCCTGATCCTAACTTGAATCGATGGCAACTTTAAATCAAATCCAAAATCGAGTAGGTTGGGCCACATGGGTTCGTTGGATTAATCGAACCCTTTAAATCAAATCCAAAATCGAGTAGGTTGGGCCACATGGGTTCGTTGGATTAATCGAACCCAACATGAATAATTGTCTTGTATCGGACAGGACAAATATTTTCCTTTTAGCTTCAAACATATGTTTTTTTAGTTAAAGCTTCAATCTAGGTTAATAGTAAGTTCATCCTATTCCCTTTCCAGGAATTATATGGCAACTCCAAACACACATTTTAACACCCATATCAAAAATAGAATAACAGGCAATTTAAGTTTTTAAATTGTTCATAATGTGCATAGAAATAAAAACATCAAATTAAGATCATCCTGTACCTAATAAAAATTAGCATTATCTACATCTTATCTACACCTTTTACTATCGAAATGACATCTACTATGGAGCACATCTCCATGAATTCGATTAAAGAAAAATCTTGTGACCAGTTTTAAACCGAAGAACGCCTTCTCAGTTAGTGCTGAATTTGAAACCAGCCAAAGCATGAAAAGAAAATTGTCTGCTCTATGTCATAGAAGGTCACCTGAGAAAAACCAACGTATTTTATTGTTGAAGTGGTTCAATCTCATTCAACAAAAACGCAAAACTTCTAGATTCTCTTCGATTTGAGAGAGAGGGAGAGCGTATAGAAAGAAAACGACAGTACATTTTGCAGCAAGTTGCATTCAACTATGGCATGGATAAAACTAGAGAGCTTATGTGGAAAATCGGTAATTTGGCAAGCTACCCAAACAAAGGAGGGGGATGAAATATTTAAAAAATAAATAGCAAATTTCCATTAAAAACAGCGGAAATTAGGGAAACGTGAATTAAAATGGTTAAAAACGAGAATAAATTACCCTTGTTCGTGTCCCAAATTTATGCGAGCACCAAGTGTTTGTTGAAATAACAAAGTACGATCAATAATAAGAACAAAGGGGGAAGAGGGGAAGAGAGAGAGAGAACCTGGGATAGTGGGAGGAGGAGAAGAAGGAACAGAAGGTTCTGGAACGAAGTCTTCCCAGCCCGGAGGCCGAGAGAGCTCCGGCGAGCTGCCGTCCATGAGACGACGGTGCCCTGTGCTCTTTTCGCCCTTCTCGCCTTTCGATCGGAGGCAGCGACTGCGCTGTTATGAGCTCGAGGGATCGTTTTGGGGGATGGTTCTTTTCATGTTAACCCCACACAAATCTATGTTTTGATATCGTGCGCCTTCAAAATTTAACGTTTCTAATGAGGGGCCGGGAGTTCTGAAATCAGCTTTCTTTTCCCCGGCAATTTCCATTTAGGGGCTGTTTGGTTATTTCCTAAAAAACCAAAAAATAGAAATGCAAACCAAGAAAACTCAAAAAGTACAATTTCACACATTTCCATCCCTAAAACTCACCCACAACATCTAATAAAATATTATTTTTATCTAACAACTCATCCATCACATCTAATAAAATATTATTTTCATCCAACAACTCATCCATCATATCCACCACATCTAATAAAATATTATTTTTATCCACAACATCACTCAACTCATCTCATCTCATATTTAAAAATTACCCACATCATCCAATAAGATTGTGACAACTCATCTCATCTCATTAACATTTCATTTCTTTGTTTTCCTCCCAAAAAGCTAGGAAAACAATTTCCTTAAGTGTGGGTCACATCATCCAATAATATAATGACAACTCATCTCATCTCATATATTTTTTTATTTTTAAGAAATAACCAAGCAAAAGAAAACAACCTATTACAAGAAATAGGTTTCTTATAATTTATTTCAATATTTTTTTCGCCAACCAAACAACATCAAAACAAGTTTTCTTAAAAAATCACTCACATCATCCTATAATAATATGACAACTCATCTTCATTTCTTTGATTTCCTTCTTTTTTTAGCAAACCAAACACTCCCAAAACAATTCTTTGATTTAATAGTTTTCCATTTCTTTGATTTTCAATTTTTTTTAGGCAAACAAACATGCCCTTACCAAAATTTGAGAACTAATTACAATTTATTTCGTGAAATTGCCGGTGATTCGTTTATGATGTTGTTGAGTTTTTGTTAAAAGAGAAAAAGATTTCACCCTCCCCCTCCTCGTAATCTTATTTTTTTTAACGCTATCACATTTCACACTCTCATATATTTGTATTATATTCACATGGTCATTTAAATTTGGCCATGCATATTAAAGCAAACTAAATTTTTATCTATACTTTACAAAAGAAACACCCAAAAAAAGAAAAATAACACTTCATTTTTTTGTCTCTCGGCGTATTATTAGACAAAGTTGCTAAAACAAATTTGTTAAGAAAGATAAAATATTGAAGCCAAATGAAAGATCTGGTGTTTAATATATGCTCAATCTAACCCCCAAAGGGTTAATGTTTTCATGAGTAAAGTATATTGTAAAATGTAACAGTACTGTTTAAAAATATAAATATACATACTATGGGAGACATATATTAATAAAAAGGAACTTGTGTGGATTTTGGTCTAATAGGCATTGATTCATACAACCATATTAGCTCCATGTGGTTAAATTATTATTTGATTATGGAAATCAAGTAAGACTTCTAGCAGGACACCTTGTAGAATGAGGTGATCTACATCATTCATGGGAGGTAACAGGGTATTGTTTAAAAATTATGGCTATTGAATTAATAATGTAAATCACCTCACTCTTATGAGGGCAGTTTTCATAAAATCCCTAGAAATAAAAATATATTTTTTAATTGAAAATATACATGTGTATATATTTTTTTGTGCGCATGAGGTCGAAAAAAACATATAATCGTGGCTCGTAATGATGTTTTAAGTTATCGACTATTAAATACATGAGTGCTAGTCTGGTTTTTTTTATTATTTGGTCATCCATTAATTTAGCCCATATATATTTTTTCGTTTATGAAATGCATACATGGTTAAGATGGAAGCATACATGTACGCGCATGCCTCACAAACGTTTTAAAAATATGACATTCAATTTGTTAAGACTAAGAACATAGATGTATATACACATTGATTAAAACCTTCTTAAAATACAACGTTGTCGCAACAATAACATATAAGCAGGGCCGGATCTGAGATTTTAGGGGTCCTGTGTGAAAAGTAAACACAGGGCCTTTCTCTATATACAAAATATCAATAAATTCCAATTTGAATCCCTAAAATGCTAAGGAACAAAATGTTACTGATCAGACATTAAATTATTACCTGATTTTTTGCATCTGTATAGTCTTTAACATACTTTTCAAGTGCTATTGTCCATTCTTCATCTCTTTGGTCACCTGAATATTACTGATAAGATAAATGCATGTAATCCCACATTAATAAAGCTTTCCAATAGAGCAAATAGTCCACAATAAGAAATACTTGCATATTATGTTTCTCTTGTATCTGTGCTTACCTTCATAAGAGATATCGAAGCCTTTAGCATATAAAGTATCATCGAAAAATTGTCCTCCTTGCATTTTTAGCTGCAAAATCACTAATTAAGCCCTTAACATCAATTTTATCAATAAAATCATTTTCAATAGATATCAAAGCTAGTCCATTTAGTCTTTCTTGTGACATGGTCGATCTCAAATAAGATTTTAATAATTTTAATTTTGAAAAACTTCTTTCTGCAGATGCGACTGTAACAGGTATAGTCAATAATATTCTATAAGCAATACATGCATTTGGAAAACAATTTCGTATTTTTAAGAAATTCAGTATATCAATAGCCATCTTTGTTTCTTTTGGTAAAATATATCGTAAGATTTTTAGTTCTCCATATAAATCTTTCCCATCAAGATCAGAAAATGTTTTATATTTTAGAACAATTTCAAGATTATCACAACATGCTTTCAAATTATTATCATCTAATGAGTTTAACTTTTCTGAACCAAACAAAAATCCAAAAATATCTTCATATGCTTTATATTGCTCAAACCTTTTCTTTAGTGAACCAATAGCTTGATCTACAATATACAAAAAATAATTGATTCTAAAAAATTCTTCAGCTGATTGTGTTGTCTCCTCATTAACATTCTTATCAAATTGTCTTTTTCTACGGATTTGACGTTTTACTTGAAATACAGAATCAATTTCTATTTCAGTAGTAATTTCTTTAGCAATTGGCATAGTTTGTGTGAACCCAACTTCTCTATAATCCTCAAAAAACCTAATCAATCCTTTTACTTGATCTATAGCAATATCAATAAGCATGTCTTTAGATTGTAAATATTTGCTAATTAAGTTAACAGCAAACAATATATCATACCAAATAATCATACTTAATAAAAATTCAAAATTTCCAATTCCATGTGTTGCTAAAGAATCTGCTTCACTTCTTATTTTGGAGTCATTATCAGTTTCTGCTAACTGAAGTAGTGCTTCTCTTATTTCAAGCGTTTGGAATCTAATTGCTTTAACGCTTTCAATATGGCTTTCCCAACGTGTAGTCGACAATGGTTTCACAGTTAAACCTTTTACATTATTTATCAAAATTTGCCATCGCTTTGTTGAGTGAGAAAATAATGTATAAATGCGTTGTATCGCTCCAAAAAAGTCTTTTGCTTTACCATAACAATTTGTCATGTCACAAAGTGTTAAATTAAGACTATGACAACCACAAGGCGTGTATAATGCTCTAGGATTTATTTCAAGTACTTTTTTTTGTACACCTTGGTGTCTCCCTTTCATATTAGACCCATTATCATACCCTTGACCTCGTACATTATCAATATCAAGATTAAGAGTTTTTAGCACATTTTGTAATTCTTCAAAAAGCCCTTGTCTAGATGTATCATTTACTTTTAAAAATTATATAAAAAATTCTTCTATTTTTATCGGGCTTGTAGAAATATCGACACATCGTAATATTAAAGTCATTTGTTCTTGGTGACTTACATCCGGAGTACAATCAAGTATTACTGAAAAATATTTAGCTTTTTTAATTTTTTAAACTATTGCACATTTGATTTTAGAAGCTAACATACTTATCAATTCATTTTGAATGCTATGACCAAGATAATGATAATGAATTTCACCATGGTCAATACGTCGAACATGTTCTTGCATTACGGGATCCCATTCTGCAATCATTTCAATTAGGCCTAAAAAATTTCCATTATTATTTTGATAAATTCTCTCATTTGTGCCTCGAAATGCCAAGTTATGTTTAGCAAGATATTTAACAACAGAAATTATTCTTTGTAATACTTTCTTCCAATGTTCCTTCTCTTTATTAATTTGCTCTTGAATATTTTTATCAATTGTTTTATTATTCTTCAATCTTATGCGTAAATCAAGCCAAGTACTCATGTTAATGATGTGCTCATTAGTTGTTTCATGTTCTTTAAGCCTAGCACTAAGATGCATCCAATCATTAAATCCTTCATTTATTAAAAAACTTTTCTTAAAACCATTTTTAAACAGTTTACAACAAAAACAAAATACTTTATCGATATCCTTTGAATAAACTAACCATTCCCTATCACATTTCTCTCCATTTGATAAATGCCTAGTGTAAAATGCCGAAGAAAAACATCTTCCTAATTTATCTTTAGGACCTTTTTCGACTAATAGATCTCTTATAGGGCCATTTTCCACTAATATATCTCTAGATTTTGTGTCCAAATTATCCCAAGTTCTTGGATCATAAATATTCAAATTCATGAGCATGGACTGATTAGGTTGTTCATTGCCTAAAATATTTTCATCGCATCTCAAGTTCAAAATGTAGGGTTCACCCCCACATTCCAGAAGTAGGATTATGGCACATACCTTCACACAGGTCCTGCATGGAAAATCCGTTCAACCAAGCTGCTTTCGAAGCGAGGGCAGAGAACAACTCCTTTGTGACAATGAATCAACAGCTCCAAGATCAGAGTTGAGATCCAAAGTATTCCGAAAATTCGTCCCAGTCAACCGCGAACTTTCGAAAACTTTGGAGGGGGTTCTGTAGGCTGTCTAAAAATCACAATAGATAGCTTATCCTCCATCAAACACCGATGATGGAAGTTACAATCTGACGACTTCCAGAAGGCTACAATTTGAAGACTTTCACGTAGATCGCTGAAGGTTATAATCTGACGACCTTCACGACAAGCGATGAGAGCTCTAGTTCAACAGCATTCACAATCAACATCGGGAGTTACAATCTGACGACTCTCATATTCTCAAGGAGCCAAGACGAAGAT